ATTTCAGCGACAGGTAAATAATATGACATAAAATGAGACTAATTAGTCTCTTGATTTGATTAAATTTAATAAATTAAGAAGTGATGACATCATCCACGTCACCTTACCTACAGCTCGAAAATACAAAAGTCTTCCGGAAATAGTACATTTTTTGAGGAGAGCAAGGAGCTGATTAGATTCAAAAATATTTCTGTTAAAAAGACTGAGAGTAAAAGAAATAGACAAAATATTTACGGAATAATGTATGGAAACAGGCTTTAGATGGCGAGTGATAGCGGGAACGTGAGTAACGTGGAGGAACTGACTCGGATGACGTGTGGATAAGATACGGGATGACGTGTGGGAAAAGACGCGAATGAATGTGGAAAGAGAGGGAATGACGTACGGAAAGAGATGGGGATGACGTGTAGGAAGAGATAGAGATGACGTGTACGAAGAGACGGTGATGACGTGTAGGATATGATGTGGATGAGAATTTCAACAAGATATGAAGCTTAGGGAGCTTTTTTTTTTTTTCTGCAGAAAATATTTAAAATATTTTTAGAATTTTGATTAAATATTTCAAAGAGTATCTGATTAATTGGAATACTTTTGATGATAAGATTAAAATATCAAAATTAGAGCTGTAATTGTATTACGTGTATTGTTACGATCTTTTCGAGATTTTGATTCATGAAAGTTTACGTTAGAACTTGTAAAGATTTGTATATTACAGGAGATAATTTTCTTTCTTTATTTGGATGTACAAGAGAATAAGATAGGATAAAAAGCTAACGAGGAAACTACTTTTTTTTTTTTTTTTTTGCACCTTTTTAGGTAACCTTTTATTGAGCGTAGTTGCACTTCTTAATATTTATGATTAAATAATTTTAAATTTAAGTTTCTAATAAATTAAGTAATGTTATTGAATGCTACTCTGATGGACAAATGAGAAATGCCATTATGCTAGGTAGCATACTCTTTCTATAGCTTAGATCAACTATTCAACAGGTCAAGAATGTTATGTGTGTAATGATTCATAGAATATGTCCTATTCGTGTTAAATAACGCTATATGATGTTGTAATTGCATTCTGTTTAAGCGCTAATATTCGTTTCTTTTTGTTTTTTCCGATCTTCATGTTTGAACATCAGAAGGATACCGTGAATTGCGTTGCATCCGGCAAAGAGCAGCACATTTCTATGGAGGATGTTTATGAGATGTCACAAACTAAAAACAAACAATATCGTTGGAAACATGCATTTCAATGTATGCTCTTTTAGTAAATCTTTTCAGTTTAAGTGATTGCAATGTTTCCTACATTTATCCCCAAATTTTATTGTCATTCTCTTTTCAAAGAGCATTAAAATTCACGAAATTTTTCTTTTTTTTCTTTTTTTCTTCAAACTATTTTAATGCATTTTCCAGTACCGTCACTGTTTCGAACTCTTCCAAATTGTTCGCACTATTTAAAAATTAATCCGGATGAGAGAGGTAAGAGACTTGTATGTTTCCAAAAGTGCTAACCTTGAGTAAGTAATTTAAATTGCATCAAATTACACATGAATTACGTTTTTCTTTTATTTTTCAGGGAAATTTGATGCACGGATTAGGATGGATTGTGCAGAAACAGCTGTTAAGCTCAAAATATACGCTAAAAAATATATAGCAGCATTTGAAGTATTTGAAATTTTCGTAATCATCATTTCTCTCAAGAGATAGCTTCCTAAAATTGGTCCGACTTATATTAGTTTCTTTTGGCTATTATCTTTTGCCCTAAAAGAGATGTCAAGGATGCAGAAATGCTTTGATTAGCACATCGAACTGTTGTTCAAATTATTTTTTTAATTCCAGAATAATGCAATGGAAAATATGAGCGCTGAAGCATCGGGAAAGAAGAGATCATACAAACGAAGTGCCAGTCAATCTATGAATAATACTCTTTATGATGTGGGAATTATTTCCATAGCTCATTTATCGCTTAAATCACTTACTTTAGGTTTTTCAAATTTTAACATTTATAGACTTTGTTTTATTTTGATAAATTGGGAGTCAGTAATATTTATTATTCTTTGCAAACGTAAAATGATAGTTCATTAATCAATCATTGTTTGAATCCATTGTTTCATCTGAGAAAATCAATGGGCAGGTATTTGCTGCAGCGGACTTCGGACAACGCTATTCTCAACCATGTTTATCGTCAACTTCATCAAGTGCTTCAGTTGACGCGAGTGTTATCATTCCTCAAGACTGCTACATGCTATCGCAAAACAGTAATTGAATTATTCATTCAATTCAATCACTTCATACTTTCATCAATCGGAAATTCAAGATTGGCATTGCTCTAATACTTGATTTAATGTATTTTTAATTTCAAAATTCTCATATCAGTCTTTCTTGCACCAATGATTTGCACATTATCCGATCTAATAATTCAGTAAACAGAAATGCATTTGGATATTATATTGATGCTTGATATGAATAGGAGATTAAAAACATTCTTATTTAAAGAAACGGATTGAGAAACTGTTCACCCAGATTTTTCAAAACTTCTCACATAAAGACATAAATCCTGAGTAAACTTAAATATATTGATACAGTTATTTCACTGTTGATTGTTCCATTTTATCTTAGCAATTTATGCAATTTTGTGTCAAATTCAAATTCAGATTTCAAAATTTAATAGGAAATTCATACTTTTGCTGGCAGCTGGATGTTATTAAAGCAGTGACATTGGAGTGAAGAAAAAGGAACTTTTAACGCTTAGTTTTTTGATTACATTTCTTTTTTGTAAATATTACAACTTGCTCCATTTTTTGTGAATTTTGTCGAAAATAATTTTTAAAAAAAAACTTCAAGCATTCAATTCTTTTTTGATATTGTTTCTTGTTGAATAAGCTTTTATAAAAAATTTATTTATAAAATGTATTTATGTGCTTGGGATGATTTATTTATAAAATGTATTTATGTACTTGAGGAAATTTTCCGCGGGACAATTTCCTTAGCTCACTTTGCTTCTTGTTTTATTGGACATATGCTGTGAAAAGTTCTTTTTTGTGTTTATTCTATTATCTGTTGAAATTTTTTCTGAATCTTTGCTAAAATAAGTTTTAATAAGTCATATAAAGAAGTAACACTCTAGCATCACTTAATTGTTCAAGATTTTAGTATCATTTCAAAGTAGCAAATGCTTATATTTTTCTAATAATAAGATTCATTATTAAGCTATTACTCCGATAATGCCCAAACGTCTGTAGTAATAGTAGTACCATAAGATCACACTGTTTATTATTCGTTAGTGGTGAAACAACTGTATCTCGGATAGGGTTAAGGTTAAGCATCACTCTTTGGACTATCAAGTGCTCAGAATATTAGCTCAGAATGCTAAACGATTATTTCATTGGTGATAATTTTAATTGATAATGCCAGTAAAACACAGTGTAATAAACAATCCATGAATTATCTGTTCCATCTAAAAATCTCGGTCAGTCATCACAAATATCGGGAAATAATATCTATAACAGGATAGCAAATACGAAAAACAATTTCTTATCATCCAATGACAACTAAAGTAACGGTAGTTTCACTTGATCTATCATATGCATCAAAGTTTTGAAAAATCTTTAATTGTTTCTGTTTTTTGCTCATTGCAATTCATTTATTTCCTGATTTTAGCAACATTATTCTTAAATCTAGAAAGTTTCTTCTTTTCAGAAAAATTTCACTTCCAGACTTGTAATTTCCGGTTTCAAATTGTATTCGATTAAAGAAAATTGGGAGATATATGGCAAAAACTCCGAATTACTTGCACAATCGACATTCGATGTTTTTATTGCATTCGCTTCGATCGGAGGTCGGAGGTTGTGATATTTTAAATCCAATCATAGAATTATATCATCCCTATTACTAACTATGTGTTCATATTTTTATTTTTACTTAATCATTTAAATTTTGACAATAAATTGACTCCAAAATCTTTCAAAATCACTTTGTATGAACTGTTTTTTATAGCGAGGTAAGAAGCAGTAAGTAATGAAGATTATTTTATACATTAGCACTTTTGTTTTACACTTTTAGCATGGAGCGCAAATCGTCATATGTATCATCACGAAACAGTGTTGTACTTTCCAGTGACTTGTCCCACTAACTTAACAACTCCTTTAAACAACTCGGAGTTTACGCATTCCAACGATGTGGTAACTTCAGGTATCATTTTCATTGAAAAATATTCCATTCTACGAGGAAACTTTGGAGAGTGACGAAAATAAGCATACATAAGAAATTAATGAATGCGAAAATGTAAAAAAAGCTACTTCTATATTGCAAAGCATATTTATCACGAATAAATCGAAATTTTCGAAAGTTATCATACCAGTCGATTGCCATAACATCCTAAAACTTCCTTACCGCTGTCGGAATTGAAAAAGTATCAATGTATTCAGTGAGGAAATGGATTGCACAACAATATATATATATATATATATATATATGTATTCTAAATCTTATAATTATATATTTCTTAATATTCTAAATCTTTAAAATTATTATTATCCTGTAGATTACATCCAATCGGAAAAGACAAACGATAGATGAATGATGATCACCAAGCGATACAAACCTATAAAGAGTACTGTAACAGAAATAGAAGGAACAAATAATCTATTACTTCATCTTTGATCAACCTCCCAATCAGGAGAGAGGATGCAAGTGAAGAAAGAACACTTTGACCATTGATCATGCAAGCAATGTGAGACAGAATACTTTCTAATTTATATGTTATATAGCAAATGAATAAATGTTATGTTTTATTCATTAAGACCCTACATGTGAAATTTCGGATGCAATCGTATTTTACATGTGAAATTCAGACGCAGTGAAATTTCATGTTTCCATTATTATACTTAAGTTATTATGTTTCTGGAATTATTACGAAAAATTATTATGTTTCCGAAATTTCATGTATTATTGTCGAAAAATGGATCAATGATCGGTCGGGGCTGATAAAGCAAACAGTTAAAGCTACATTGGCTTACGTCGAAACATACGTCGAAAAATGGATTAGTAATCGATCAGGATTGATAAAGCAAACAATTAAAGCTATATTGGCTTACGTCGAAACATACGTTGAAAAATGGATCAGTAATCGGTCAGGATTGTTAAAGCAAACAATTAAACCTATATTGGTTTACGTCGAAACATACGTCGAGAAATGGATCAGTAATCGATCAGGATCGATAGAGGAAACAATTAAAGCTATATTGGCTTGCGTCAAAATATGTGTCGAAAAATGGTTCAGTGATCAGCCAGGATCGATAGAAGGAACAATCAAACATATATTGCCTT